CTGACTTGTCGTGACGAAGCAACCCGAGGACGTGGCTGTCCGACGGGTGTCAGGTTGTCCACTCAGAACAGCCTGAACTCATAGACGAATCGCTCATCATGATCTTGTCAGATATTTCCGGCTTCGGAGATCAGCGCAGCACCCCATGAAACTGCACTGATCACCGTGATCGTCCGAATCGGGTTTAACTGCAGATGACCATACCTCTTTATGATTAACAACACTACAAGTTCGATTTACTCGAGCCCTACATAATGGGAAGAAACATACACACCATCACTGATATAACTTATGCTTCCTCCGACTCAGAATCGCTCTCTTCGAACAGAGACATGAACTTACTCGAAGCTATCTTCTGTACCTCTGTGACAGAGGCTCTGTCAATTCAATGTAGACGCTGGCTGGAACTCTGCTCCTCCAAGAGCCCTTATCGACGCCGTCGGGAGCTCAGAGGGAATACTTAGTAGGATGATAATCCAGTATTGCTGCTTAAGCAAAGTCCCTTGCGGATCGCTAGCTTGACCAGTTCTCTAAGCAACTGTAAGATGAGCCTTGCTTTCTCGGCTGGAAGTGCTCGTGGAGCCTTATACAAACCTTGAAGTGCTTGCTGAACGGCAACTGTATCCCAAGTCTTGTCCAAGTCCATCCAGTCATGCCATTTTGCTAAGTGCGCGAGATAGCACTTGGCTGTATCTTGGTTTCTGAAGGTCGATAGCCAGAGGATGACCATGTCGTCATTCGCCGGGAGGAAACCGACGTTGTCAGCATAACTGAGAGGAGTTGCTACAAGTTCCATGTAGCAGCGAAGGCCTTCAAGACTTCAACGCTCGACTCAAGCATGGCGTGATACGACATTGAGTCAATCAACTGAAGACTCAAAATGACTCTGCGATTGTGGTCGATGAAGAGCTTGTCTGAGACTAGGAGTCTCTGACTGACCCCTCGAGCGATTCGAGACCGCAGAAAACGAACGAAATATTTTTATTTCGAGATCAGAGATAGCTTCCGCCCACGTCTACGCCTCGAGTTTAGGCTTCCCCTTAAAATTTATTCGTAACAACACAGTAACGGAATCACCAGGAACAGAATCATGATCATAACTTAATGACAATCACAGCGAGTGGCTTTTGGCAAAGTTAGGAAGTCGGTGTTCTTTTCTCGAGTAAGACCTCATGACTTCAACGAAGATTCGCCTGCTAGGCTTGTCGGCTGGATTCAACTCGGACGGCACAAGGTCAATCTACACTTTCGGGTGAAACCGATCGCATAAATCTCAGAATTCAGTGATCATGTGTTTCAAATCTGTGAGTTCTGAGTAGCCTTTCACCAAACCTTGTTCAGCTGCCACGTTGTCGATGAAAACGGTGACTGAAGGATTTGAGACGTCTTTGCGGCAAAGACTTTGCCGAATGTCTCGATCGCTACTAGCGCAACGAATAGCTCCACAGCAACAATTTGAGTCCCCCGGTCAATTAGTCCAGCGTGAAACCACACCGGTGCCTCACAAGCTGCATAGAACGGTCGATCAGAATTTTTGTCGTACACCACCACGTCCAAACCTCCCTTGGAAGTTGCGTCAGAGTAGATGGAGGCCTGGGGAACAGGAGCTCTGTGAGGTCTTTCCAAGAGAGGGATGCGACAGACTGCAGTGGCGCTGGCGAGCATGAATTCTAGGCGTCGTAGCGCAGTGGTTCTGAAGGGTCGATTCTTCGAGAGGTTGCAAACGCCAGATCGATATAAGTAACTAATAATCTCTCGAATGTAGGGCCTGCACGCATCAGAATGTAGTAGAGTAGAGGCGAATAGAAGGCTGCCCGCTAGCTTGGCCGCTGTCGATGAAGACAGAGAATCCTCCGATACAATTCCCCGTATCGTTTGGACGATCTCAGCCTTCTTGCCTTGTAGAAAAAGACATGAGCTCTCTCTCGAGACGGAAAGACCGAGGCCCAGACGGTCTGGGCCAGACCCGGTAAATCAGATCATCTGACTCAGATGTGGGTCCCACACACCTCAGTTTCTTCAATTTTCAGCCTAGGATGAGATGGGACTACCGCCAAGCCGCATAGCCAGACTCCACCGAGGGAGCGCGTTTAGGAGCGAAATAATCATCGAGGAAGTTCAGCAGTACCAATCCTAGGGAAATTCTGCCGAGATGCGCCAACGCTTGCGAAATTCGGCAATAGTCCATGGCGGAGCTTGAGGCTCCGAACGGTTGAGCCACGTGGAAGGAAGTGCCTGCCTTACCGGTGAAAGGGTTCTCAAGGAGCACAACGGTACCCTTTTGAGAGTCGCAACCGCAAGGGACCTCTCTATAAGCAGACGCGTGGACAGATTTCTACCACTTGAGACTTGCTGTTCCTGTCGCCCGAGCGTACTCGAAGGCCACTGCTGCAGCGGCTTCCGGGGTTGGAAGGGGAACCTGATCTTGGGATCTCATGGCGCGAATGGCTTTAGACCTCTTAAAAATCATTTCAAGGGCGTGTTTTTTTTTTCTCTTGCACCACTGCGAAGCGTGTATTTCCCACGAAACCTTCTTCGAAGATAATGTACAGACTTTCCACCGAAAATGGTCCCATCATTGTCGCATCCTCGGTCTGCTCGATGGCACTTTGTCATAAAGTCTCATCCCATTCGGTGGACTCTTATTCGAGAGCTTCTGCCATCCTTTTTGCCAATCCCGGACCAGATCGGAGTAGCTCTTCGAGATTAATGAACTTGCGCTTCTTAGCTTTTCCGGTGTTCCGCCTGAAGATGGATTCGGGAAGCTCAAAGGTCCCTGTTAGTGGCAAACCGTCTTGGAGCTCATCGGCAAGCGAGACATCGGGGTAAACGCTGGCTTGAAGCATCTCCTTGAATAAAGGGAGATTCAACTTCCCGGCAACGGCTCGGACCTTCTCTGGCATGCGAGTCACGGAATTGTCGGTGGCCGCTCTCAGCTTTTCCCGACGTTTATCCCAGAACTCAATGACCCTGGAGCGTGCCGCTATAAGTTGATCAGGATGTAGCCTTTTTTTGTGCAGAAATTGCTGCTCTTAGAGTATCAGGAAGACCAGGAGACTGAGTGAGAGGGCGAACCATGTGGCATGATGAAGCGAGATGTTCCTCTGGTGAGGAGCAATGAATAAACTCACCAACGTCCTCACCGCGAACAGCCTTAGGCTGCACACCGCTGCCGACTCTACAAACTCTTGGCACGAAGTGACATACCATCTCAGAGAGATCCGAGCGAACCGCAGAGCTCTTTGAAGCTCGCTGATCTAGAGAGGGTGAAGTCCTCAGGATACGGCGAAAATCATCTAGAGCCACGACTCCCGGATATGTACATGTCTGCATGTTCGGAGGTCCCTCTCGAGATAACGACGCCGGGATCGTCAGAGGCGAGCTGGTCTCTGTCAGAGACCCGGTGACTGGAGTATGGGTTTCCAAGAACGGTGAGGTCGTTCCCACTGGTGTCGACTTTGGCTTCAGGCCAGGTGGCCCCGGACTACTGGTCCGAGAGACTGACAGCACAACACCGATTAGGTACGACAGAATAAAGTGAGAGAAAAAAAATACGACTCATATGGCAGACAGCTCAGCGAGCTCAAAAACTTCTATGACTCAAAGGCTGAGACTCCACGAATGGAGTATCTATCACTCGGAGAGCGCTTCACTTATTTACTTTCTCCTTGTGGTCGTCCTTTTTCTTGCCAACATCGTTGTCCTCACTACTCTTCCAACGTTTAGAGTTGGAGTTCCAACCATTATACCAGCCACCATTGGCTTTTCCGCTCTAGCCATTACCCTAGTTCTTGTACCAGTATTGGTTATTGGAGTGGGAACCGTAAGAGCTCCAACTGTCATTCCACGGACGTTTAGTGCCACGGTCGTCGTAGGGCTTGCGCGAGCTTAACCGAGAAGACAGAATGAGTAATTGGGAAGCATCGACGTCAGCCAGATTGCCAAGAGCCTCTTGCAGTGTGATACTTTTAGCCGACACCATCTTGGCGAGCCCCTGGCGGACATGTAGATCGTAGGCTCTACACAGAGGCAGCCCTCCAAACTTGTTAGAAGTATCAGAGAACTGAACCGAAAATAACACGTGCAGGGCATGGCTCATCGGTAGACCCCAATCACATATCCCGAGGATAGCGACGGTAACCGCCCAAGATAGCAAACAAGAAGCAAAGTAAGCCAGCCCTTCCTTCTCGAGCTCGGGATCACCACAGAAGGAATCCAACGGATCCGTGAGAATGCAACCGGGATCTTTGATACACGCGGCCAAACGATCTGGATTAATGAGCTTGGCATCAAAGGAGCCAATACCAGAACGTCTGATGTAGCGCAGCGTGCTCTCAGCACTATCCACCTTGGAGGAGTCATCGAAGTTGTTGAGAGAAGATTTGATGTTGAGACCTGCGATTAGCTTATCCACGAACTGATCGGCAACTCGAGAGATGGCGTTCTCCTCAGGAACAGAGGAGACGCCCAGCTGTTGGACTTCAACGACAGATTCCGTAGCAGGGTCCGATGGAGTACTCGATTCCTTGGAGACCTTGGCGATCTCAGAGATGAGCTTAGAGGTCCTAGCAGACCTGGGCTTCTTCTTGAGAGCTTGCTCGGGGTCAATAATGCCGGCACCGAGCGGCGACCCAGGAATCCTGGGCCAGGATTCTCGCGGCTACTGACCTTGTCGGGTGTGGAGACAACGACTTCCTGGCTAGAGGAAGAAGTGCCCTCGAGGGCTTGCCCCTCTGCTTGGGCCTCGCTAGAGGAAACCGGAGACTCTTTGGGATGGTCCTCGGTCTGAGCTTCGACGGCGGTCTTCTTGGCCATTGAGTGAGAGACGCTGCTTGGCAGCTTACAACGAAATACGCTGAACAGTTGAGTCTGAACTCGACAACGAGGATGCTTTCTGGTGGTCACATAGGACGGATACATGTTGTATCATACAACAAGTAACAACATTGAATGCATGATGATCACTATCATGATTATCAGATAATGCCGCAGAGGGCTCGCACAGCCTCAGAGGACTTTCGAAAAGATGAACTGGACTCGGTAAAGCGACGACAGAATACTTGTCAAGTAAAGAGCTCACTATGCCGCAGAGGACTCGCTATGCCACAGAGG